AAGCCGAGAATTTGGACAGAGGATTCCGCGTGGCAGCACCGTCGCCGACTCGTTCCGCCTCTTCGAGCCCGTCATTTTCTCCTGCAACTCGTCGATCCTCCGCGCTCTTCCTCTCGGCAGCTGCAACTACCCTCTCGATCTCCGTCGTTACGTCGACGGGCGTCTCCACCTTCGCGTTCTCTCGATTACGATCCATACGTACCAGCTGTGTCCGACGATCGAAAAGTCGCGCGATTATTTTCCGTTTCGCGCTGCTCCGAACGTTTCGGGGCCGACGACGAGCGAAGAAACGAAGACCATACCTCGATCACGTTCTCCTCGAGGCCCGTGAACCGTCGTAACACCGCTGCCAGGTTCGCGCTCTGCGTCGTTATCCGACCGGTAACTCGCAGTTCCTTGCCGACGTCCTCCTCGATCTGCGAACGATTTTTCTTTATCTTCGCCCTTCATCGCCTTCATAGCTCCGTTTATCCGAACTTTTTACGATTTACGTAATCGGAGTTCGTACAACGGCGGGTCAACGATTTTTCTCGCCATCTATTACTTTTCGCTCTCGCAATAAGAGCTCGCGATTTCTTTCTATCTGCGATCTTGACACTTTACCGACCGCTGGCGATTCAACAGCATACGCATCTCAGGCGCAGATTCTCCCTAGCGCCGCCTCTGTTTCGGTTTAGATTCTCCGATACCATTGTTTTTGTTCATCGCGAACGGTACGTTTTTCAAATTGGTATAAAACCGTGGCAGCTCACAAAGCAACGCAGCCGACGCAACCGAGCAAGGTACCTTAGTACTAAATAACGAATTACTGCTCGAATAACGAGAAAGATCGTCGGCGACGAAAAGCCGATTAATTGGCTATCGATCGGTAACCATCGGTGACAGAAAACCGGTGAATCGGCCATCGGTCGGTAAAGTGTTAATCCGGATACAGAGACGTTACTCGTCCTACTCGGCTGTTAATTGCTTTACACCGTTCAACGTTATTGTATCTGTACAAGGGTTCTCAGCCGTTAGACGAATAAATAAATAAAGAAATAAAATTTCGCACCGATAAGTAGAATTCGGATAAACCGAGTTCTACCTTGGCGATAGAGTTAAATTGGAAAAGATAGCGATACGTACCTCGTTCATTCCTATGGCCACTCGTTCGCTGATGTAGCGGAGATTGTCGCGTGCCCGTCGAACCTGTCAACACGCGGGGAATGCTAGCGGAAGATTGGTACGCGCGATCGATCGTTCATCGACTAAAATACGTTACTATCGTGGTGAATTCTCTCATCTCCGTCATGATCTTGTGCCGCAGTCTCGTAGCCGCTAGAAACTATACGATCGCTGTTACGCGTCTTCTTTCGGCTCCTGCGGCCGATGTTACGAGATAATTCGTTTTGTGGTAGCTTACGCGCTGAAGAACGTAGAACAGAATCGCCATGTTGACGAACATTGGGATCGAGCTGCCGAGCACGTGTTGAACGAGCCGCATCGTCGCGCAACGATCAGACGTGAAACGCCGCGAAAATGTTTCTTTCCCGTGGCATCGTCCTCCACGCGGTACTCTCCTATCGAATTTTTATCTCGACGAAACAAAACACGACTTGGCGCTTAGCCGCTGCCAACTTCGTTTCCAACCATCTTGTCTTTCCGTTCCAATACGATTTCCCTCTCTGTTCCGAACTTTGGTGCTGACATTTGGAACACGTGGAATCGCTTGGAATCTGCATACGTAGAGCTTCAAGCATCGAGTGGTGTTAGAAATGATACGAATTCGTCGCCGTATACCGTACGACTGCTATTCCACGCGATTCGAAGTGTTTCCGTTCGCGTTACCATCGATCCTCCGTTTAGAATATCGGAAGATCGCAGTTTCGTGTTTGCCGTTTGCGTTTTCTCGATTTTACGAAATCTTATCGGAACGTTCGACACGAGATGTTCGATGGGTATATACTCGTCCGAGCGATAATTTAATAAGGATAATTTAATCCTAACTCTTCGTCCACTGGTCGTGTATAGTTTATTTGTTTTTTTCTTTTTTTTTTGCTTCTTGATTCTGCTGCCTCTAAACGCATTTTTCTATCATATTTTTCCTTCGGAGTTGTTCACGCAGACCCTTGCTTCTGATATTGTCAACATTGTGTACTTATCGAAGAACCGATAAAATAAACAATCGATAACAGGCTTGTGGTGACGTTCATGTCCATTACGCTATCCATACTCTTCCTATATTATCTTAAAAACGGAAGAAACGAGGGAAATAATTTTCACGAACGAAGAACGACGAGAGAAATACGAATACGTATTAAGAAATGAGAAAAACAATGATACGAAGACGTTTGTATTGTTGTCGTTGCAATCGCTATGGATTCCGCGTAATTCGCGACGTTATCGTTTTGCCATCGGTTTGAAAGTCCAACGACGTACGAACTTTCAAGTAATTGCCTATCCACGTTTTTCCCCTCGTGCGACGCGTTTTATAACGTGCACGCGCGCGGGTATTTATAAATTATACAGCTACGCCTAGTGGTTCTTTAGCGCGGTATGTACGCGTTTGCGTGCCGTTGAAATCGCATCGATCCGTCACTCGAGTTCGTGTCGCGATGTACGTACAACAACGATGCATGCTGCATGTGCATTTGCGTGTATAAACGTTCCCTCTCTCGGCGAACGAGTTTCCACGATAAGCCACGATAATGTTTCGAGCGGTAACGCGCAATTGAGCAGATACTGCGCGTCCGTTATCGCGAAACTCGATTAATTTAATGCACTTGCTCGAATTGACTCGATCTGCTTCGTTCTGTCGGTATACGTATATAGATTCACCGATCGGTCGGGTCGATACGATACGCAGAGTCCTTTCGAGGTTGTCCAAGTCGTGTGCGTGGCGTTCAAAGTCATTCGGAGGTCGTATTCGTTTCACTCGTTGGTTTAAAAGCGGTTTAAAAGTGGCGCTGATGGCAAAGATCGGTGCGAACCTGGTGGCGAAACGGCGCGTTAAAAAAGGTTCGTGGCGCCACTTGCAGCGGTGTGTTCGCGCACGACTGTTTCGAGTGCAGCGCTAACCACTCTGTGATTATTCCGCCCGAAGAATCGCCAAAAATATGCAAAAATATGAGAAGCTCGAGAAAATAGGAGAAGGTAAGCAAGCGTCTATCCTTTTTCGACTACCGATTACGTCTGGTTTCTCGTTTGGGATTCCGGTGCTGCGTGCCGAGCCGAGTGCATGTGACGTGTGAATGTGTGTTGTGTGCGTGTTTTTTGACAACCGATCGTAGAACGCGTCGTTCTCGCGATTCGCTAGCGAATACCAACGACATATTCATCTCTGGCGTACTTCAGGTACTTATGGAACCGTTTTCAAAGCCAAGAACCGCGAGACTCACGAAATCGTTGCTTTAAAGAGAGTTCGATTGGACGAAGACGACGAAGTAAGTTTATGGCGCCGACGAGATTCTGTCGCATTCGCGTCACTACAGATTCCCTTCCGATTCGAAACTCGATTTATCGTGACGACCTTTTCCGTTTGTTGCACGCAGGGTGTACCGTCGTCCGCGCTCAGAGAGATATGTCTACTGAAAGAGTTGAAACATAAGAATGTAGTGAGGTTGTACGACGTATTGCACAGCGATAAAAAGTTGACGTTGGTCTTCGAACATTGCGATCAGGACTTGAAAAAGTATTTCGACAGTCTAAACGGAGAAATCGATTTGGACGTGGTCAAATCCTTTCTGTGAGTACCGTTTATGACTCGTTTGTGATTTGCCGGTCGGTCGCTATACATAGACCCGCTACCTATGCTGACCGTGTGCTTTCTACGCTTCTCAGCTACCAATTGCTCCGTGGATTGGCATTCTGTCACAGTAGGAACGTATTGCACAGGGACCTTAAACCACAAAATTTGCTGATCAACAAGGTACGCGTGATTTCGTAATTTCCAGAGAAATTGAAAAAACAAACGTTGCTTTATCTTTATCTAAATTTCTATTTAGAACGGCGAATTGAAGTTAGCCGATTTTGGACTGGCGAGAGCTTTTGGAATCCCTGTAAAATGCTACTCAGCGGAAGTCGTTACGTTATGGTACCGTCCACCGGACGTTCTCTTCGGAGCAAAATTATACACAACGTCCATCGATATGTGGAGCGCCGGTTGTATATTTGCTGGTAAGTAGCCTTTTAACAAACAAGAGAGAAAAATACGATGCCGATTTCGACTGCGTAGAACTAGCAAACGCCGGTAGGCCACTGTTTCCCGGTTCGGACGTAGACGATCAATTGAAGAGAATATTCAAGATGCTGGGTACGCCGGTCGAGGAAACGTGGCCGGATTTTACCACTCTTCCAGACTACAAGCCATTTCCACTCTATCATCCCGCTCAGGGATTGGCTCAAGTTACGCCGAAACTCAATTCCAGAGGCAGAGACTTATTACAGGTATCTCGTCATATTCGGTGTTTCGCGAGAGAAATCGTTGGTCTCAAATTCTCACCAGGAAAACTTGTCCTTTTCAGAAGTTATTGGTATGCAATCCAGCGTTACGGCTGTCGGCGGACGAAGCAATGGTGCATCCCTACTTCAACGATTTAAACCCTGCCATTAAAAACGATCGTTGTCAGTAGTGAATGCCACATGAATTGTCTCGATCTACAGCGTATGTCGCGAGTAGCGTAACGACCAAAATCACGCCGGCAAAGATCGTTTGTTAATATATATATATATATATATATAATATACGATATATAAAAAGGTATATATATATTATATATATAATATACGATATATAAAAAAGGTATATATATATATTATATATATAATATAACTAGTATCGTAAGTATATATTTCGCACTCGATGCGTCGGTTATGACGCGAGACGAAGCGACGAGTCCTGTGTTATAATAAGAATGTCCAAGAGAAATCAATAAATTGTCAATTTTATTAGCGACGACGATTTATATTCGAAACGCGCAGAGTGCGTGATATATTTCAGAAACTTACTGTACAAAATATCGCCAAAGATTTCCGTAAACTACATACACACGCGTATTGCTGATCGTATACCGACTTGTATTATGCATCGCGTCTAGTCGCGTGTAGTCGCGTCTAGCCGCGTATGTACGTTCGTTTATTCACTTGCTCACTTATTTTGTAGATGTTTGTATATTTATTAATTTATCGATTCGTTAATTTATCTGTTTATTTACCGATTACGAAATGATTTACAGATATATTAAATACATTTCATAAAGATATCTGACACGGTCTCTTGATCGAACCTTTACATCGCGTCAAAGGGAAATCTGTGCGCTTCTTGAAGCTTCTCGATCTTATCTTCCCTTCGCTCTTTCCAATAAAGAGCGACGATGATAGCGGATATCAAACCGCAGGTACCCGTCAACGCGGCGGCGCTCAACAAAATTAATTTACTGGGAGTTACTAATAGCTGGGCTTTCCATCGCCAAGGTTCTGCTATCGGATTCGGAATCATTACCATCTGGGAATTGGGTATGATTTGCGGCCACTCCCGAGATTTTCCGCCGACCTGTCGTGAGAAACAAACATCGGTCAGCTCGCGAACAACAACGCGCAAAAGAGAAGAAAGAGAAGGACGGGTAAGTGGTTCGCGCGAATATACTTACCCCGATAGTGAGAGCGTCGACGAAGTTTGGTGTTCTACCCAGACCAAAGATCGTGTATGGTAAATTCAAGGAAAAGTGTGCGCTTTGCGGTAGCTGAGCCGCAATCGCGTTACGTGGGCTGCCGTCTTGAGTGGTGGTCCTATATGCTATCGACGGGCCGGGAAGGTTCGTCCCGTAAGTTCTCTTTTTCTTGCCGAGCGAGCCCGGCGAAATTGGATACATGCTATTGTTGCGGCCCGTGAGTACCATCACTTTGACAAAGTTTGCGTCGTAGTCCAAACTGTTTTTGAACGCCGCTGTACGGTAGCTGCTGCTACTTTTGTCCACCTCGACCAAGATCACGTCCAAAATGCCATCTTGATAGAAGTCGTAGAACACCGCCATCGCGGTTTCGTTGTGGAACGGATTTAACGCCTGCCACTTCACTTGAAATTTTCGAGCGAACGTGTTACACGAATCGCACGCAACGTTCTCCAGCAAATAGGATCGTGTCTGTTTGCCGCTAGTCGACTTGAGCGTAGCTAGCAAGTCTGGATATCCGTCCATGTTGAAGTCACCGCCGCGGAGGGTAATGGTGTCGGTGTACCGTTGACCGTTAGGCTCCACGAAGCCCCACAGTACGTTGTCTCCGTCCCTGAAGTTCACTTCGAGATTATACCATGTGTCGGAGGAGTACATCATGATCGTGCTGTTGGTACACGCGTTATCGAAACAGAGGGGCAAAAGCAAATCCATTTTGCCGGTTAGCTCGACGTCCAGATAGAGCGTTTGTCCGAGGATACCGTTGAAGTTCTCTGAAATTCCATAGGGAAATGATATCAGCTTGTGAAATTCGAATCCCTGCTCGACTCCCAGCCAAATTTCAAAACTTTTGTTCGTAGTGACCACCAGATCGGCCAAGAAATCGTTGTTCAGGTCTAGATAAGCGTTCGAATGGGGTTGACTGATCGGTGACAGTGGTAACGATAGATCTAACGGTGCCCTCATTGGCACGGATTTCGGAGGTTTTCTACTATCGTCGAATACCCAGAACGTTCTCTTTTTATATTCATCCAAGCCGAACAGATCTATTATCATATCGCCGTTATAGTCGAGAGCCAATGGTTGACCTGTCATCTTTATCAGTGGTTCGTTGGTGCAATTTAACCGACCTTTTCCACCCCACAATACGTATCCGTATGACAATTTCTTTTCTTTGTTGTACGTGATCACCAGCACGTCCATGAATACGTCTCCATCGAAATCTCCTGGTACTACACCGACGATGAGATGACGGAAGGTGCAACTTAGGTCGGAGCTGGGTCTCAAATGAGGCTCCTGCTCGGCAGCAAGAAAGATTTCAACCCTCATACCGTTTTCGCGCAACATAAACACGTCGGTCAATTCGTCGGAATTGAAATCACCGAAAGCGGCTGGCATGCCGTCCAATACGCTTCCGAACACCGCAGGAGTAATGTCGCTGCATCTCACTGCCATCGCAGTCCCTATCACCAGCAAGATTATCCACCGAATCCTCATCGCCGCGTCGTCCACCGTTACTTATCTGGAAACAGATATTTTATTTTCAATTTCAATTTCATTCGTATCGTGTTCGTGGTGTATCGGACCGACGGTAAGATCGAATCACCTTTGAAACGTTTTTTTGACGACGCAACGATCGCGTTTGACAAACTAACCTATAAATCGTCCAACCAAGTTAGGTGACCAGTACTACGATTAGGAGATCCAGCAATCGGGAAACTTTATTCGCAGCGTGTTGAACAATTATTATTATGTGAGAAACACGCAAAAGTATTCGCCGAGAATAGTACAGACTACGATCATTCTCTATCACTTACGTTTTAGATAAATTGCAAACGCAAACTGGTTATTGCTCATCCTGTTTTGACAGGTATCGATTCTCGGAAGCACCATCTCTCGGCCGATAACGCATTGAACGAATAAAATCTATTTTATCGACCACCGTTGCGGCGAAATACCTGAAAATTTGATTACCTTTCGATTTATGCGTGTACGTATATATGTATATATCGATTTCCCGATTATCACGCATCGATGAAGATACACGATTTCCTTAATCATTCGGTTGAATTCTCTTACGCTAAAATGAATTAAGATCTCGAAGGCGATGTACTCGTTGAGCGATATTTTATTTACCCGTGTGTACACTTTATACGCTCTGCAATTTCGGTAATATGAAAGATATTTCGCGTACGATCTAGAAAGATTGCGTCAGCTTTTGCTGCGCAACGACCATAAATATTCGTATAAAAATATCAATCGTTTTACAATTGGCTTTATAAAAAGTGGGTTCCCAAGAATTTCTATCGCGATTGTCGGTAAGTCGTGCATACACGCGCGCTAACTGTACGCAGCCACGACTATACACGGTTACATAATTTATATGTGTATGTGTGCGTGCACACACACGCGCGCGTATATACATATAGGCATATACGGATAGCCTAGTGTAAAAAGATAGGTACGAATCGTACGAGGCGTTGCGTGTAATACGTGACCGTAATTTAACAATGTCCTCGCGTACGCAAAATTTCATACGGGCAGTTGGTCGTATTTCCGCTACAACAATGATTTGGATAGTCTACGGGTTACCAAGAAATTAGCGACGTAGTAACCTTGGGGAAAGTCGTCGAAGATACATTTTCAGATAGACGATCACAGAAAAACGCAGGTACTTCAGATTGATCCGCCGCGATCCCTGTTTACGCGATCAGAGGTATCGGCGATACGCTCGCTCCGGAGACGGTCGAGCAAAAAGAGATACGCGATAACGAACGGTAAGTAATTAGAAATTTGAAAAATTTCCATTCGGAAGCGACATCGTTTCGGAGGTTGAACGTCCCGAGCAGGGGGGCTTTTGTAAACGTCCGCTTGAACGCGAGGGTACGTGGTGTTCGAGTGTCGTCGCGCGTACTACATAACGGGGCTAAGCTCATGCGAATTACGACGAAGTAATTCGATAAAGTATACTCGTATACACCCGTAACAACGCCTGCATGTACGGGGGTAAAAAGGAAGAGAAGCGAAACAAAGGCGTACATGTTTCTTTGGCGTTGGCGTGTCATACGTTAATTCTGCACTCACGACTACATCTTAGTGACGATGGCGATAATTACGATATTATTGCTACTACTAACTATAATTATAATAATAATAATACCAACAATAAACAGCAACAATAATAATAATAATAATAATAATAATAATAATAATAACAATAATAATTAGAAAAAGAAAATGCATTCTGCTACGAAGATATAATTCCTTTGAATGTTTCCTTCTTTTTTTTCCTTTTTTTTTTTAGCATACTTAACGGCTACTTTTTCTCTCTCACGCTCGCTCTCTTTCGTTCTCTGTCTTTTTCACGTTCTGCCTATCCTTTCATTCTGCTTTGTACACGTTGCATAAATAAGAAAGAGCAACAAATTGTCTAACGTCTACAACTCGATAAAAACCTATGCGTAAAAATATTTACAATATTTATATTATAAACCACTGTTGTATTGCATTATATTAGTTGCGACGCGACGGTTTGAAAATTCCCGGACGTTTGCGAAATCGGGTAGCGATTTATCGCGTTTCTCGCGATCGCTTTCAATCGCGCGATATAAAATGGCAGTTGCTCGCGATAACGCGTGGTAAGTAACGAACGAAAACAGAGATGGGAGAAACGCGAGGATATTAACTTTAATACTGTTATAGTACTTGTCCGTTTACTCGTAGAAGCGGCATTCGGACGCGTCACCGTCTCGAACGCGCCATCGTACTTTGTGCTGGGTTTGATGGCGCGAAGCACCGATTAATATTCGATCGAGAAAGAGAGAAACGCGCGATTCGCCCGTGCTCGTGCATCCAGAAATCGGACGGAAGTTTTAGTCGATCATTTTGATTGGTCGATAACCGCTATTAGCGCGCAATAAAAATTGACGCCTCGAAAAATACATCGATTCGATCTTTATTTCGACGCTGTTTGGTCTTAAGGCACGTAATCTCCGTTAAGTAAAAATGAATACTATAAAAATGTAAAATTATCTGCAATTTCTATCTTTCGCTCGCTCGTTTCTTTTTTTTTTTTTTTTCTTTACACGCTTATCATTCTTTCTTTCCCTCTTTCTCTCTCTCTCGTACATGCACGCACGCACGCACGCACGCACGCACGCACGCACGCACGCACGTACGTACGTACGTACGTACGTACTTATCCAAGCATACATATATCCGCGTAATTTACTTTGTCTGTACTCGATATAGAAATGTGACGTTCGATTCGACTTACTTGCTGTACAAACGTTTGCGTGCTATTTAACTTGGCACACGAGCAAGGGACAAACAGCGAATGTACGGCTCCTCGCGCGTCGGAGGAAACAACTAATCGTCCAGGCGATCCACTGCCGCTGTGACAAATCACTATGCAGTTCGTTCGAATATCCTTCTTTCTTGGAATATATGCCCGCGCGTTCCTATCGTCTTGCTCGCATCTGGTTTTCCGTCTAGCGTTTTGCGATGTCCGTGTTTCGTGTTTGTCAACGGCCACTCGTCGAAC